TAAGTGTCAACAGTACAGTATAACTTCCCTGTCTCCCCAAAATAGCCCATATATTATGATGTAGAGCCCTGTACAGAAATCTTTACAAGAAATGTTTTTATAAACAAAATAGTCACTCTGTTCTTCACTTACAAACGTTCACTGTACATTAACGATGCACATAATAAGTGCATTTTAGAAATACAGAACCATGTTACTTCTGTTTTTTAGTAATATGGTAGAACAGATATTCAATTAAATCTCTCCTACCACAGTATATCTAAAACTCATGGGAAAATATTAAAGAACTTTTCAGCGCACGGTTGAGCTAATGGGTTACCAGAGTATTTCTCTGAGAAAGTGCAAATTTATCAACTACGTGGGCAACAGGTGGACACTAGGCATTTCACAGGGTGAGCAACCAATCCCAGCCAGACTGGAGATGGAGTTTTAAAAGTCCAGAGATGGCAGGAGACAAGGCCTTGGTCCAAAGGGTGAGAGAAGCTTTCTGCATAAAACGGATCCCCTGAGGTACTATCTTCAGTGCAATAACCATAGGAAAAGAAAACCTACGCAGAGAGACAGAGGATGTATTTGACTTTCTCTCCCTGGGTGATAGATAGGGCAGGACGATAAATAAATAACTACCTTGGAGAATAACTAAATTCTCTTGTGGAATTTGCACCTATAATCCATATTACTTGTATGGCCCCCATTTTTAATTTGGTGGAACAGGTCCTGGTTGGTGTAGCCCAAAATATGTGTTAGAAGTGAATTTAAATCTTCTTTAAAACAATGAGTTTTCCATACCATCCTCAAGGAATTCACAAAGATAAAAGCCTAAACAACATGATCTCCTAATTTGACAATTCACCAACTACATGGGGGAAACATCAGCATGAAAACAAACCAATAGAAAAAACGAATAGCAGAATTAGATTCACCTATTTAGAATTATTATATATAATTCATATGCATCAAGAAATAAATATTGAAAAGCATTTTTAAGAAAAATTGACTATCCAAATTAACTGGGTGGACTGGACAAAAGAGCTTTAAAAAGTAAAACGTATAAATAACTGAAAAGAAGAATGCAGTGAATGGACTAAATAGCAGGTTGGTCATGGCCGAAGATAGGACAAGTGAAGTATAGGACTGAGCAGGTTACACGGAACACAGCCGAGAGAGAGAGAGAGAGAGAGAAGGATAGGGGAAGCCTGAAGGTGAGATTGAAGATTAAGACAGTGTGAAAAGGTCTAATGTATGCTTAACAGAGATTCTGATAGGAGGAACCATAGAATGATGTAAAGGCAGTGCATCAAGGTACTAGCTTACAGAGGTACTAGCTAAGACTTCTGAAGATTTAAATATTAAACTACAGGTTTAGGAATTCCAAGAAAGAATGTTTAAAAATACATACATATAACATCTTCATGAACCTGCAGAATAGAAAAGACAAAGATCTGAAAAGCATCCAGAGAGAACTAGATTGCCAGATGGCTGATTTCTCACCAGAAACAATGGAAGCTAAAAATTGGTGGAATGGCATCTTTGAAGTGCTGTTAGTCTAGGATTCTCTATCCAGTGAAATTAGTTTTTAAGAACAACGATAAAATAAAGTCATTTTCTGAGGCTACCGAAAGCCTCTCCGATGGGTACATTTATAGAATGTTCTTCAGAAAGAAATTAGTGATCCCAGAAGGAAATAACAGCTACAAAAATAAACAGAGCAAAGAATGTAAATCTAAGCAAACATTGATTGTTTAAAGTAGAACAGTAGTGGGTGATTTCTAGAGTTAAAAAATCCAATGTATAACTATAATTATGGGAGGATCATGTCAAGGGGTGGATAATCAGTTAAAACATTCTAAAGTCTGCATTGTTTGGGAAAAGGTGAAAAAAGTATTAATAACTTTAGTGTTTGTGATCTTAGCTATCTATTATCAAATATCTAGGATAACCATTAAATAATAGAATATAACATCCAAACTAGTACAGGGTAAAAAATACAGAAATGAATATGAATATATGAATACATAGACACTGTAAATGGACTGACTCTTGAGTCAAAGACAAAGATAGCCTAGCTTCAAAAAAACATAATTATAGTCTACTTATGAGGCATACTAATATGAACACAGAATATTTGAAACTAAAAGGATCAAGTGGTTTATAATTTAAATATTAACCAGATATCTTTAATTTTTATTGCAAGAACCACAGTGTTACTACATATTCATAAACAGTTTGTTTCACTAGAAAGACTTGATAATTCCTTTCTAAACACAATAAAAATTGATAGAACTGCAAAGAACATTAACAAATCCACAATATAATGAACAAGCTTGACATAATGGACTTATATGGAACAATTGGAGAATACACACCCTTTCAAGCACATGGAACATTTATAAAAGTTGATGGTATGCTTCGCCATTTTATGAGCTCACAAAATTCAAATGATTGCTTCATAAAAATTATATTCTTTTATCATAAGTTAATCAAGTTATTGATCGATATAAAAAACATAACACCTGCATACGTTTGAAAAATTGAAATCATACTTCTAAATAACCCATGGGCCAAAGAACAAACCGGAGCCACATTAAAACCATAGGTCCTCATGATCCTGTAGAACTTGCATTAATTAATAATAGAGCCAATGAAGTATAAAAACAGTAGACTCATAAAGGGAATTTGACATTTGAATAAAAAGAACCTACACCATGAAGTAATATGCAGTAAGAGGCTAATGAAGATTCATAGTAAATAATTACTATGCTCAGAGGAAAATTAGTAGTTTAGCTTGGGGCTTACAAAAATATTTTTTTAAAAAAAGAGATCATTTTTTCTGATGATTAAAGTGTATAACCACATATCAGAGGGCAAGGTAATTATGAGTACATCAAAATTAAATAACTATGTGTGACAACCTAAAACTGCCATAAATAAGATTGTTACGTTCCAAATAAAGCATTTGGAAATATATTTGCAACAGGTATGATGGAAAGGCAATAAGTGATATGGGCAAAAAGCATGAAGGCGTTATTCAGAAAGCAAGAAATAGAAATAGCTAATAAATATTTGAAAAGATGTACAACATCAAATGTAATGAGAAAGGATAAAGAGGGAAGCAACAATGAGATAATATTTTTCAAGTCTGCTTGGTAAGGATGAAAAAGATTGAAAACTCATACATAGGGGTTTACGTACACAGGGTTTCGTCCAGATATTTTCTCCGTTCTTCATATTGTCATTCAACTTGGCTTATGGCCTGTCTTTTTTTGTCACTAATTAAAATTTGGTGTTTTGTAGTACTATTTATCAGTCTTGCAGTTTTTATGAGGTTCGGTTATACTACTTTTATCTTCTGTTGACAGTGTGACAGTATATTCTGTACTCTTTGATCCAGTAATTCCACTTCTAGAAATTTGTCCCAAGGTATATAAAATTTTGTATATACAAAACTGTTCTTTGTGGCCTCATTAATACTAGTGAAAAAATGGGTAAATTTCCAGAAATAAAGATTATGATGTGTGTGTGTGTGTGTGTGTGTGTGTGTGTGTGTATATACACACACACACATATATAGGTATATGTATATAGGTATATGTATGTAGGTATGTGCCATTTCTATATAAATATAAAAGATTATATAGAATAATAGTAATCATTTAAATGATATATAGATTAATCTTTACATAAAAAGAGATGCATGATATTACTGAGTGGAAAAAGCAGGATATATCTCTGGTGTGTGAACTGGTGTGTACCTATCAGTTGTAAGCAGCTACTTGTTTATAGTTGCATAGACAGTAGTTATATCCCATGATGAGTGTGTAGAATATGCTGTAAAATAAAAAGTACCAGAACCGAATCTGGGGTCCTGAGTTCTAGTCACTGTTGGGCTATTTTTGACAGATCTCTTTACTTCTCAGGGCCTCCTTAAGTGCCCTCATCTCTAAAAATGTGGGAAGGGAGGTGAGCACTGACTACATTAGCATAGAAATACACCACAGTGGTTGTCACGTCCCGCTCCCGCATCCAGGGCAAGCATTAGTCGTCAGTCCTCGCTTTCTTTCTCTGGGCTTAGCCATTCCTTAGAAGTGTTCTCAGCACGCACCGTATTAGGCCACCCTTTCTAAACAGATTGTCCTTTGCACTTGACGCTTCTTTGCCATCCTTGGATAAGATCTTAGAAGTCCTTTAGCTAAATGATTTTTCTGATTAAAGAACTAAGTTATTGTGGTGAGAAATAACAGGGAATATCTTTCAGAAAAATTTTGTACTTTTCTGGCCGCCACATCTTAAAAAAGCAGTAAAAAGGTGAACACAAACAGGTAAAATAGGTTTTGATAATATATTTTATTAAGTACAATGTATCAACATGTAATTGATATAAAATAACTACTAATGCATTATTTTATGTTGTCTTTTCACATAAGATCTTTGAAATCCAGTGTGTATTTACAGCAATCTAATCTTAGATGATGAATTTTCTTCATGAGATGAGATCTCATTAGATGAGATCCTTGATGTATATTTTAATTTCCTGTTTAAAAAGTAGTTTCTCATACCCATATTCTTACATTTTGTAATAAATGAACTGAGTACTCGTTTTTAAATTTAATTAAAATTAAAAATTAAGATGTGGTCACAGTAGCCGTATTTCAAGTACCTATTAGCCATATGTGGCTGGCGTTTACCATATTGGACATCGAAAGTTCAGAGAATACAAAGGAACATACAACTTGATTTTAGCCTTCAAGGAGATTTTCTGGTTGGGAAAGCAAGATATCAAAAATAAGCATACAAGAATGTAATCCAAAACAGAATGTAATTAAGTGTAAGTGTAAAAGTTTGCCATGGACAGACTTAGTGCTACTTGGGTAAGAAGTTCCAGAAACACCTACAGCTTGCTACATTCTTCACCACTTTGAAGTCTGAGTGGTGTCGAGGATGTGTTGAGTTTGGGAGAATGAGGTGTCTTCCTTTAGAAAGTGTGTGTGTTCTCCCTGCAGGCACGGGACCCGCTGTGCTGGAGAAGTGGCCGCCGCAGCAAACAACTCTCACTGCACAGTTGGCATTGCTTTCAACGCCAGGATCGGAGGTATGGGAAACAGACACGAGTGAATGTAGAAACAAGCCAAGAGCTCTCACCCTAACTGGTTTTCAGAACCCTTTTCTGAACTGAAGACAGGCATATGTTTGCATAATGGAGTTTAACTACTGCTGACAGCAAAATGACTGTGTTAACCTGCGTTATTAAGTGGCCCCCCTAAAGCGTTGCAAACACAGACATTTCTTTCTTTAAATAGGAATGAGAAAAGGTTGTCCAATAACGAAGATGGGGTCATTAGCATCTATACCAACTTGTACAATTGGTACCTGGGTCAGAAAGAACTAAGGATATAAACAGGCCATAATATCTCTATGGAAAGAAGCATTTTGAAATTCTGTCAAAGCAGAAAATATTTTTTTTCTTTCCCATAGGCTTTACAAAAAGTTCCTTTTAATTGTAATTAAAAGGTAAATAGTAAAATCTCCTTTTGTAGTCCCAGAGTATAGTAATGCTATTACCATTAATAATTGCAGGTTATATATATATATATATATATATATATACACACACACACACACACACACACACACACACACACACACATACACAAGCTCAAATATACATATACTTACTACAAGGACCAACCAAAGCAGTGTAAATTCAGATATTAATAAAACAAACTCTTACTTTCCCATTTGTAATCATCTTTCTTAGTATAGCCTGGTGACACAGCCACGCACAAATGGGAAGAAAACATTGTAAGAGATGGTATAGATCCTACTGGCTTTGAAGGTGTTCCTCTAAGCATCTTCTGAAGGGTTTCATAAGATGAAGCTCCTCGAACCAGGCTGACATCCTTGTTTCCAATATACTATTTGTTTCCAAATGGTAAACAGAGTTGGATCTAAAAAATAGAAATGATAGTCCTTTCTAAGGTTAATGTAGATGTCTTATAACATGAAATAATTGGGGTATATAATGACGGTGCTAAGGAAAGGTTTTCTGAGACTGTCTTCTGTGTCATTCCATCAGTAAATTTGACTGCTTTCTTTCTTTCATTTCACCAGGATTCCTAGAGTGTGGCAGCTTATTAACCAGTAATTAGCAGTACTCTTGAGAGCATCTGCTCTGTATCAAGGGCAAGGTTCATGGAGGTGTTATGGAAAGGAAACAGACATCCTCTGAAGAATAGTGAGGGTGCTGGAGGCCCCTGCTCTCCTCAGGATAGCTGGATGACTACAGTGGCTGTCCAGTCAACCCTACTTGCTGTCCAGCACACACACACTCACATACACAGACACACACCTAGGTCCCTATCATTACTATTCAGTACTAACCCAGCACTTCTGACCTTGAGGGAGTGAAGGGATGAACTTGTGAAGTTCACAGATAAACTGCTGACCTAGCTAAACAAGACCTCTAAAAAAATGAATGAATGGCAATGCCTGACAAATGTTCTTTCATCCTAAAAGCAAAAACATTCTAAATTATAAATTTAACCCCTAGACCCAAGGCATGAAGGCTTGCAGTTAGTTAAATGAAGAAAAAGTAACCTTTCATTTTTAAACTTGAGAAAATAAAATCCTTACCAGTTTTTGGTCAGAAAATTAATATTATGCTCTAGATATGATTTTATCAAGCATGTTTTCATGGACGTCACATAAATTTCACGGTGTAGAAACTGAATTCAGGTGCTGTGTAGACACTCCTGTGTTTAGACATACTGATTCGATTATTTCAGGCCTCCTTGTAGTGGTAAAATAGTTCCATTTTATGCTTTTAAATAGAAGTAAGAATATGAAATATTTCCTCTTTATTTGGTAAAAACCATGCAGATGAGTTTTGAATATTCAAATGGCTGCTGAGGACCCAGTATGTGCAGAGCGTCCTGCTGGGTATTTTCCTCCCACAAAATAAACTGCTGAAAAGCTTTCTAAGTATGCTTTACATTCCATAATTTTTAAATGGACTTGTTCAGAACCTTTGTTCTCCACATCACCTGTTTCTATACATCTCCTTTAAAAATACACAAGCCTAGAAGAAAAGATAGTCAAGAGATAGAGCAGCCAAATGCAACATCTTTAGGGATGCTTTGGGGAAATTTAAGGGTGGGTGTTTGTTTCCCCCTTTTGTTGGAAAAAATATGAAAGGACAGAGTGTCATATCTGTCATGTAATTTAAAATGGTTTAGCCTAATATTTATATTTTTAGATGAAGAAAATGTGGCAAAATGTTAACAGTTGTTGAGTCCTGGCTGTATCCGGGTTCATTGTCATTTTTTCTGTTTTTCTGTGTTTGTTATTTTATAGTTAAAAGTTAAACATTTTTTTAAAAGTACAAAGAAGATATGGTTCCTTCAAGAATATTTTTATATTCCACCAGAATTCCCACCTCAAACCACATAGGCTCTAAAGCTGCCCGATTTAGGGTTTTATTATTTAATCCTCATTTATTGGTAACCAAAGAAAGTTGAAATCCTACTAGATAACGTTTTCCTAAGGAGTAAATTTGGTCTATAAGGACATAATTTTAAAATAATACAATGTTTCAGTGATGGTATTTAGCTTCAGCTTAAGGAAAGATATGTTTACTTATTAGGTGTTTTGTTGTTATTGTGTGTCTGTAAAATAAAAAGAAAGCTTTTTATTTGACAATTTTTTTTAGTATCTTAGTGTCTATTTTTGCAAATTAAGGTTAATAATAAATTCCTATCTGTCTGGTGGGAATACTTACATGAAGATTAATGACTAAACATTGCCAAAACCCTTTGAGAATTATTTGATGTGTAACATACACAGAGGGCATTCTCATTTATTATTTGACTTATAATAACTTGGCTTGGCAAAGAAGTAATACTTTAAGTTCACATCAGTATTTCAGATTAGGAAATAATATTAAATATGGAGGAAATTGGACCACTCTAACTTGGCGGCTTTCCAAATTTCTAAGACTGCTGAGGTTAGAGTGTTTTATACCAATTATGAGCACAAGGTACCTAATGAAGAGAAGTTTAGGGAAGATGGATTGCTTGAGGCTCCCTCTGTCAAGAGACAAACCTATCCCTTAAGACAGATAAAGAGAAGGGAAAGAATGTGGAAACTTAGAAAAAGAGAACAATGGCTAAAAACGTTTTTAAAGAAGTTTTGCTCTTCTACATGGAATGTAACTTCCTTTCCCCCCAAGAAAGCTTCAGAAAAGTCTTGCACTATCCTTTTCTGAGGAACATATGCTGACTTAGTGTTGATTTAAAGGTTATTCTTTCCTTAAAAAAAAAAAAATGCTACGATTGAAATATATCTTGGTCTGTTTGAGTGAAGCTTGTGTTAGAGTTACTTCCCCTTTCTGTCTTACAGGAGTTCGCATGCTGGATGGAGATGTCACGGATATGGTTGAAGCAAAATCAGTTAGCTTCAACCCTCAGCATGTGCACATTTACAGTGCGAGCTGGGGCCCAGATGACGATGGCAAGACTGTGGATGGACCAGCTCCACTCACCCGGCAAGCCTTTGAAAACGGTGTTAGAATGGTAGGTGTTTTTTTTTTTTTATTTTACTGGAGTATAGTTGATTCACAATGTTGTGTTAGTTTCAGGTGTACAGCAAAGTGATTAAGTTATACATACACATATATTCATTCTTTTTTAGATTCTTTTCTCATATAGGTTATCCCAGAATATTGAGTAGAGTTCCCTGTGCTATACAGTAGGTCCTTGTTGGTTATCTATCTTGTATATAGTAGTGAGTATGTTTATCCCAAGCTCCTGATTTATCCCTCCCGCCCACATTTCCCCTTTGGTAACCAGAAGTTTGTTTTCAGTATATGTAAGTCTGTTTCTGTTTTGTAAATAAGTTCATTTGTTTCATTTTTTTAAAAATTAGATTCTACATATGAGTGATATCATATGATATTTGTCTTTCTCTAACTGACTTACTTCACTTACTATGTTGCTGAAAATGGTATTTCATTCTTTTTGATGGCTGAGTAATATTCCATTGTATATATGTACCACATCTTCTTTATCCATTCCTTTGTTGGTGGACATTTAGATTGCTTCCACGTCTTGGCTATTGTGAATAGTGCTGCAATGAACATTGGGGTGCATGTATCCTTTAGGATTATATTTTTCTCTGGATATATGCCCAGGAGTGGGATTGCTGGATCATATGTTAACTATTTTTAGTTTTCTGAGGAACCTCCATATTGTTTTCCATAGTGGCTGCACCAACTTACATTCCCACCAACAGTGTAGAAGGGTTCCCTTTTCTCCACACCCTCTCCAGCATTTATTATTTGTAGACTTTTTAATAGTGGCCATTCTGACTGGTGTGAGGTGATACTTCGTTGTAGTTTTGATTTGCATTTCTCTGATAATTAGTGATGTTTAGCAATTTTTCATGTGCTTTTTTGGCGATCTGTATGTCTTCTTTGGAAAAATGTCTATTTAGGGCTTCCCTTGTGGCGCAGTGGTTGGGGGTCCGCCTGCCGATGCGGCGGACACGGGTTCGTGTCCCGGTCTGGGAGGATCCCGCATGCCGTGGAGCGGCTGGGCCCATGGGCCATGGCCACTGAGCCTGTGCATCCGGAGCCTGTGCTCCATGGCGGGAGAGGCCACGGTGGTGAGAGGCCCGCGTACCGCAAAAAAAAAAAAAATGTCTATTTAGATCTTCTGTCCATCTTTTGATTGGGTTGTTTGTTTTTTTGACATAGAGCTGCATGAACTATTTGTATATTTGTATGTTTTAAAAGCACCTCAGCTCAAACTGTGTTGATTGGTGATGACTTTCATATGAAGCCACCTCTGAAATAGTGAGTTTCCAATTCTCCCGTCTAGAGGAGTGCATGGAGCTCTAGGCTGAGTCAGTAGACAGGATTGTGCATTGTATCTGTCCTGCAAATAAGCTAAGGGCTAGAGAGTTTCCTCTGATGAGAACAGAGGTATATTTGGATGCTTAGATTTGTTGAAAAGAAATATTTATTAATATGAATATTAACATCATTAATATTCATCAATATGTTAATTTTGGATTTGGAGATATAAATTCTTGGAACTGTGAGACTGAGAATTGGAGATATTGAAACCCTCCAATTGGTGTTGATAGGTCATCCAACAGTGCCCTTCTGGGCATCTCCCTTGTGTAGTCCCTTCCCTAGCTTCACCTCTGTCCCAGGACAATATTATTTTTCTGTTCCCACATTCCCTAACCAGGCAGCTTAATTCATCATCATTTTCCTTGATTTCACTAAAAAAATTCACTGACCACTCCTCTCCCCCAAATTGACCATATAATCTAATGTAATAAAATATCTGTTTCAAATTACAGATCTTGAGAAATCCTGTCTTATTTAAATTAAATTAAAAAATAAGGGTTATACAGTTGTAATACTCCACCAGAAGCAACTCCTTTCTCTTTCTTACTCGTGAATGCACCATTGAGTGATTTAAAGTATACATTTTTAAAATTTATTTTAAAAAAGTTTTTATTGAAGTATAGTTAATATATAATATTATATAAATTACAGGTGTACAATATAGTGATTCACAGTTTTTAAAGTTTATAATCATTTATAGTTATTACAAAATACTGGCTATATTCCCTGTGTTGTACAATATATCCTTGTAGCTTATTTTATAACTAAGTTTGTCCCTCTTAATCCCTACCCCTATATTGCCCCTCCCCCTTCCCTCTCCTGACTGGTAACCACTAGTTTGTTCTCTATATCTGTGAGTCTAAAACGTACATTTTAATCATGTTCATGTTTGGCCATTGTTGATCTGGGCCTAACCTCTTTTTGCTTCCTCATCTCTTTTTTCTTTTTAGGAATGTAAGCGTACTCCACTCTTTTTTTTTTTTTAATTGAAGTATAGTTGATTTACAATATTGTGTTAGTTTCAGGTGTACAGTAAAGTGATCCAGCTAGGTATGTATTTTTCAGATTTTCTATCATAGGTTATTACAAGATATTGAATATAGCCCCCTGTGCTATGCAGTAAATCCTGTTGCTTATCTATTCTCTGTGTAGTAGTTTGTATCTGTTAGTCGTCTACTCCTGGTTTATCCCTACCTCCTCCCTTTCCCCTTTGGTAGCCATAGGTTTGTTTTCTGTGTCTGTGAAGCATACTCCACTCTTACTACCCATTGGCACATACTGCTTTCTCTACAGTATGTGGTCTTTGACTCTCTCCCATGACCTACTACTATACAGACAAATCCTATTTGACCATCAAACTTCAGTTAAACTGCTACCTCTTCCCAGAAACCTTCTCACTGCCCAAGCTAGAATTTAGTGTACGTGATCCCTACCTTATTTTTCCTATACTTTGTATTCTTCCTGGTATGTATAGTCTTTATCGTATTGTGCTCTCTGTCAGAGTTTTGCATGTATCTTCTTCACTAAATAGTAAGTTCTTGAAGAGCAGAGCTTGTACTGTACGCACCTTTGTGGGCTTTGCAAAACCCATAAAGTACATTGAATTCTAGTGAGTACTCAGTGAATGTTTGTTGAATTTAATTTAATTTACTGCAAACTATGCTAACCATAGGGTTGTTATAAATTCAGCCCAGATTTGAAACAGTGGAATGCATGTAGTTGATTAACGTAACATTGCAGCTGGAGTACAAATAATTACGATTCTTCCACCTTTGTGGGATTGGGGTTAGGGTTTTAATCAGAAGTCTGAGCTAAGCCGTCTCCTGGTTATTCTGAAAGAGACTGGAGGGAAAACTTCTGCACTTGTTCTGTATGCACTTTCTAACTATCGTTAGATTTGCTTCAGACTTTTCTAGCTCTGTCAATTCTCAGCTACATTAGAATGCTCTGAAACTAAGTTGTTGGGTAGAATTTTCCTTTAATCACCAGTAACCTGGTGATTTCATTACCAAAACCTTGGGCTGCACATTACTGTTCTTTCCCTCTCTGTCATCAGTACAGTGGTTATTCAAGTTAAGTCACTCATGCTTAGTTCATATTTAATTTTCAACTGTATGTGTATGACTCTTAACATAATAAAGAGCAATCTGAAATTTCTCATTAAAATGAATCTATTTATGTTAGTAGTACACATAGCCTCATGAGTATATAGAGAGAGAATGTCCTATATTCAGTAGCTATCATTAAATCAGGTGATATGGACCAATGATTTTCAAATTGATTATTGCTAGTGAATCTTTCATTCAATGGAAATCTTAACTGGAAGTCTAATATATAAAACAAATACAAATGTGGTACGTTGGTGGAAGGAAAAAAGAGCTAATATTAGAAACAAGATGATCTGAAAAAGTTATTCAGATATACAGAAAGATTATATTCAGAAATAAATAATTTAAAAAAATTTATTCTATACTCATCATTAATTATAAAAGTAATCCATGCCTGTTACAATAGATCATTACTATAATGATGAAATTAAAATAGATTTTCTTGTCCAACTAGATAACCATTGCTAGGAGTATGGACTACATCTTCCCATACTCCTGTGCACGTTCGTATACCAAATGGGGATCATATGTCTTTGCGTGTTGCTGTTTTCACCTAACAGTGTATCATGCGTATCCTTCTGGGGCAATCCATAGGATAGGACTCATTCATTTTACTCTTTCAAAATTTTTGGAGTATGGATATCCCATAATTTGTTCAACTTTCCATTGAGGATCTCTCAAGGTTTTAATCTGGGAAAACAAGGACTTTAGTTTTAAAACAGACCATTTACTTTTAGAGTTAAGGCAGTAACAAAAGAAGTAACTCTTAAAAAGAACAAATTATTCTGACTTCTAGCATTGCACATCTAATTATGGAAAAGCAGCGGTGACTCATTTAAATGTGTTAAGATCAGCACGAGAGGGTTTTTATGTGTTTAATATACATGGGCTTGCGACTTAGTCTAGAGTTGAGTCTAGGATTTGTCATTTACTGCTCTCTGACCTGATTTAGATCAAATTACCTCTCTGCTTCCATTTCCTCATCTATAGTAGGGCAATAATAGTATTTACTTACAAAGATGTTACGAGTGCTAAGTGAGATGATAATGCATATAAAGCAATTGACACAGTACCTGGAACATAATAGGTGCTCAAGAAATACCATATATATGTTTTTCTTTCTTTGGAAAAGAGATCATGTTCTTCCAGAAAACTTTGTATTTATTCTCAGCCCCCCATTCTTCTCTCCTATAGCATTCCACACTGTGGAGTTCTAGATGATTCCATTTAGTTACTTGTAGTGGTAGATTAAAAATAATCTGATGAAAGTCAGCATAGACTTTCTGAGTTCTATAATGTCATTTATTTTGTTCTTCCTATGTCTATACTCACCTTCGATTTTACTTGCCTTATAAAAGCTCATCTTCAGTTTCATCAAGATAACCTCTCGGTATACAAATTCATTTCAGTTATCCATGTTTGTGATTTTTGAAGCAGTATATTAGATAGCCTTTTCCAGGAAAAAGAAATCTTTCATTCTTCCACTATCAGGCATCAAATGAGTTGGTAAATTTTATATTCTTTGAGATTATTTTAATTTGTGTTCTTT